GACCCTTCTGTAGCTCACAGTTTTATGTGTCCTTGTGTTTAGGCATTCTGTTAGAAGGGCAGAGGTTTCCTTAAAGTAGACAAGACTTCAAAAAAAAAAAAAAGGGGGTTTTACAGCAGCAGTTTTGCATAGAATGTTGAATATTTTTATTTTTGGAGGCATCAACATTTTCCTTTTCTTCCCGGGAACAGTCAAAATCTGCTGTGTGACGTCACGATTGTGGCAGAAGACATGGAGATCCCCGCTCACCGGGTGGTGCTGGCAGCCTGCAGCCCTTACTTCCACGCCATGTTTACAGGTAAGAAAGATCTTCGTTGATCTTGTGTCCCCGCGTGTGTGCGCCTTATCTTAGCTGGTCTGCCCGAGACCCCCTGAGCGTGAACCTTAGTTCCCCTCGCGGTCCCATTTCCACTCCGACAAGATGAAAGAAACGATCATGAACCAGGAAAAACTTGCCAAACTGCAGGCACAAGTGCGCATTGGTGGGAAAGGAACTGCTCGTAGAAAGAAGAAGGTGGTTCACAGAACAGCCACAGCAGACGATAAAAAGCTGCAGTTTTCCTTAAAGAAGTTAGGGTTAAACAATATCTCTGGTATTGAAGAGGTGAACATGTTTACAAACCAAGGAACAGTGATCCATTTTAACAACCCTAAAGTTCAGGCGTCTCTGGCAGCAAACACCTTCACCATTACAGGCCACGCTGAGACAAAGCAGCTGACAGACATGCTTCCCAGCATCCTAAACCAGCTCGGTGCAGACAGTCTGACTAGCTTAAGGAGACTGGCCGAAGCTCTGCCCAAACAATCTGTGGATGGAAAAGCTCCACTTGCTACTGGAGAGGATGATGATGATGAAGTTCCAGATCTGGTGGAGAATTTTGATGAGGCTTCTAAGAATGAGGCAAACTGAATGGAAGCAACTTCTGAAGAAGATGACATTTGCAGAAGTTACAGGAGCTGCTATTTTATATCATGACTGCTTTTTAAAATTTTTTTGTTTATTATGGATCTGATAAAATCTAGATCTTTAATATTTTTAAGCCCAAGCCCCCAGATAGTGCAACTCTTTTCAGTTTTCGCTTATATCTAATTCTTTGCGGCAAATTAAGCTGAAAAAGCCTGGGAATAAAGTTTGGAAAAGGTTAATAAAATTCTTTGCCTAGTTAAAAAAAAAAAAAAAAAAAAAAAAAAAAAAGAAAGATCTCCGTTTCTAAGGTGTGTTCAGACCTGAGGCTTTTCCATGTTAAGCTTTGTTTTTCGGCATTTTGGTTTTATGAAATGAAGAACTGTAAAGGGAGAACCTCAACCATCCCCCGCATTTTTTTCCCAGAGGGTCTCTACATTAGGCCTGATTATCGTAGAACTTGCTTTGACAGCTGGTCTAGAATCTGTCAACTGTCCTCAGCATCCACAGGCACCTTCGCCTTGCTTTGTTGTCCTCAGTAAATGTGTTGTACACTGTGGCCTTGCTGTTAGCTCAGCCTTGCCACTACAGGATACATTCCCATCCATCCTCACTGCAGAGATACATTCCCGTATATCCCCACTGCAGAGATACATTCCCATCCATCCCCACTGCAGGGATACATTCCCATCCATCCCCACTGCAGGGATATATTCCCATCCGTCCCCACTGCAGGGATATATTCCCATCCATCCCCACTGCAGAGATACATTCCCGTATATCCCCACTGCAGGGATATATTCCCATCCATCCCCACTGCAGGGATATATTCCCATCCATCCCCACTGCAGGGATACATTCCCATCCATCCCCACTGCAGGGATATATTCCCATCCATCCCCACTGCAGGGTTATATTCCCGTCCATCCCCACTGCAGGGTACAATTCCTATATGTCCCCTCAGTTTGCAGCATTTTGGGCTCTAAAATTATTATTGGTTTGTTTTTGTGTATGCAAAAGATGTCTTTTACTGTTTTATAGTTTTCTCCAAGTGGGTTTTCCCATTTGCCTTCTCCAGTATTTATAGAACTAAAGCATTGTCTTAGATGATTTACTTTGGAAATCTGAGAAGAAGGCTGATATATCCGTAAGCTTAGGTTTTACTTTGGCACGTATGAGCGTGTGTGTAACGTGCTGTTAGCACTTTTGGAAGAGAGCTAATGAATGCCTGTGATGCCTGAAGCCTCACAAAAAAACCAGTACCAAAGCTGACTTAGAGCTGGGGGTGGAGCCCAGTGGTGCAGCACGTATCTAGTATGCACAGGCCTGGGGTCAGTCCTCAGAAGGTAAAGGATGAAGAGAAGAGAGGAAAGGAGAGAGAAGGGGAGGGGAGGGGGAAAAAAGGGAAGGGGAAACACGGATAGTCCTCTTACAGTGACACCCAAAATTGAGGATAGGTCTGAACCCTATGTAAACTGAATATTTTTATGTACACATATGTACCTCTACAGTTTAACTTATAAATTAGGCCAACAGTAGCAGCCTTGTCTAAGAGTGAAATGGGATATAAAAATATGCTATGGTGTAGCCAGTGTCACCATTTTTGTGCTTAGGAGATATTAGTCAATAAAATAAGGAACACATGGACATACACTTGGCAATACTGTGACCTCTGATTGATACTCCAGCTAGCTACTAGTGACTGATGGGTAGCATATGCTGTATAGCTTTGCTAAACAGAGAGATGGTTCATGCCTCAGGTGTGGCAAAACCAGAATGTCTCTTGAGAACAGGGTCTGGTTTAAAACTTATAACTTTATTTCTAGAACTTTCCATTTAATATGCTTGGGCTGTGGTTGACTTTGAGTCATAGAAGCTGCCACAAGTACAGCTGATAAGGGGCCACTAACTGCAGTGTTGCACAAGGAAGTGTGTTTATTATGTGATCAGCCAGTTTAGTCTTCGTCTCTTGCTGCACCAAATACAAAGTATGTGGCAGGCACGCCGGAAGAAACACATAGACAGTTATGGCTAGGCATGGTAGCATGCATCATTAATCCCAGCAAGCAGAGGCAGGTGCATTTCTATGAGTTGGAGGCTAGCCCAGTTGATATGGTAAATTCTAGGATAGTCAGGGCTAATGTAGAGAGACCCTTTCTAAGGAAAACAATTCTGGTGACAGTTGATAGACTCTTGAGTATTTCCTGTGCATACAAAAGGTATAACTGTTTCCTGTTTCAGTGGTTCATTGTACAGCTAGGGAGATAGAGGCACCTAATTTAAACGTAGGGTGTAGAAACCTGGGGCCACACCGTGAGCCAGTTGGTGGGGCATCATTGGACTGTTGGCCTGGAAATGCTCTAGGAAAGACCACAACCTGTGGGAACCACTGGGTCTCTGGAGACTGACCTGAATAATCTGGGCTTCACTTCACTCTCACCAAATGGAAAGTAGGTAACATAAACGGATAATATTGCTCACATTCTGGGTTTTTGTAACGATTAGATGAGGTTATGTATGTGAATTTCTTAGCACTTCTCTTGGCCATTAGAAAATGCCCAGTCTAGCTGGGTGTGGTGACGCACACCCGTAATCCCAGCCACACAGCTGGGTGTGGTGATGCACACTCGTAATCCCAGCCACACTTTGAGGCCAGCCTGGGGTACAGGGCATCGTGTTTTTAAAGAACAAAAAGTGCGAGTGTGCATGCGTGCCTCTGTGTGTGTGTGTGTGTGTGTGTGTGTGCCTGTGTGTGTTTACAGTAACTAGAGAAGTGTTCATGGATTTGAGAGGGAACAGAGGAGGACAGAGAGTTCAAGGTAGGAGGGGAAATAATGTGAATATAGTACTCATGTATGAAATTCTCCAAAATAATTTTTTAAAAGTTAAAGGCAAACTAAAAACCAAGAGAGAGTGCTCAGTTTGTGCCGGCACTAAGTATCGTGGCCATCTCAACCTGAAATCCTTACTGTATTATATAACAGGAGACTGAGCAAACCTTAGGCTAGGCAGCTACAGGTTTCTATTCCTTAAAAAGCTCTTAGTATGTATTAATTTTACAAAATAACTTGTCTCATTGTGATATGTCACACATGCGTGTGACATACATGATCACATGTTCCCTCTGATGCCTTCTCTTATCTTCTCTCCCCTTGGCTCCTCATGCTTTCTGTAATAACTCCCTGCCCACTTTCATAGTCCCCTCCCTCCCTTCTTTCTCTTTCCCCTCCCCCCCCCTCTCCCCCCCCCCCCCCACCCCCCCCTTGTTTTTTTTTTTTTTTTTTTTGAGACTTTGTCTCCCATAGCACAATCTGGCTTTGAACTCACCATGTAGCTGAAGATTCATAGATATTTTCTTTGCAACGTTTTTTATTCTCCACAGAGTAACAAACATGGAGTTGTTAACAACTTAGCCTCACCAGCAATGCACAGTGATGTGGACCTTTTAGTCCCAGCTCCAGGGAAGCCTGTGCCTACGAGTTTCAAATAGTATGACCAACGTAGTAAGGCTCTGCTTGAGGGGATAAAGCTATGTTTATCTCGTTTTGATTTTATGTATGTGTGTGAGCCTGCATGAGCTTCTGTACATGGTCTGTGAGTAGGTGCTGACAGAGGCCCAAAGAGCAGCTTCCATCCCCTGGATCTAGAGTTACAGGTGGCTGTGAACTACCTGACACTGGTTCTAGGACCTGTGCAGGAGCAGTGAGTACTTCTAACTTCTGAGCCCATTCTCCAGCCCAGCCCCTTATTTTAATCTCCCATAAACCATAGGTGGAAAATCCATTCAAATTTTTTGATGTAAAAAAGAATTCTGTTACTCCATGTAGTTTCACGTATTGAATAGAGAAAGGAGGTGATAAATAATTCCATGGCGTAGTTGCAGGTTTTCATCTTGTGAAATCTGGGACTATTTAGAGCCAGGCCAGGTGGTTAACTATGACTCGAGAAAGAGCATAGCAAATTGGGTTCTTTTGTTTTTAGAATGTTTGTTAAGAACATAGCCTTTAAAACACCTTTACTTAGCAAAATCATTTAGCTGTATTTGGTGGTACAAGTTAACATTCTTTTAAGTTTTATTTTTGTTTTTTAATTGTGTGTATGTATGTGTATGTGCACATGAGTGAAGCTACCCTCGGAGGTTAGAGGTGACGGGTGTTGGAAGCATCCAGAGCTAAAGCTACAGGCTGGGTGCTAGCACTTGCACTCTGACCCTCTGGAAGAACAGCAAGTATACCTATCCAATGAGCTATCCCTCTAGCCCCACAGGTTAAGATTTTTAAATGCTAGTCAGAGATACTGAGTACTATGTACTTTATTGGGAGTAAATACTTCTTGATAACTTCCTGTGCCATAGTAAATATAAAATAGCAAGAAAATTAAAAAAAAGAAGCTAA